GGAGGGAGGGAGGAAGGAAGGAAGGAAGGAAGGAAGGAAGGGGAGGTAGCAGAGGGAGGAAAGATAGATAGATAGATAGATAGATAGATAGATAGATAGATAGATAGATAGATAGATGATAGATAGAATAACTTTATTGACAATTTGAATGTACACTAATCGACATACATTAAAATGAAATTTTGTTGCATTCAGCTCTCAAAGGTTCACCCCCTCCAGTATACACTATATAAACATGACTAAATAAATAAATAAATACAAAATTATGTCTATAGCCACATATATTATAAGATTGAATTGTTAGCTTAAAAAAGATAAACCATGAATTCCTCTCATTACTTTATGCTGGAGTAACAATCTCTCGCCAATCCATCCTCAGATCTTGAGACGGCCAATGCTCGAAACCGTCTTGATGCCGTCCTACAGTGTCTGCTGGAGAAAACGGATGTTGACAGGTAAGAATCAGCAAGTCAGCAGTTGGAAAACACATAAAAATGCAAGTAGAAAAATAGGGACCACCTTTGGCGGGAAGGTAACAGCATTCCAGGCGCCTTTAATGTTCCAGGCGCCCTACTTTCGGCCTCTGCATCCCATTTTCAGCCTCTGCACGCCCCATTTTCTGCTCGTTCTGGGCGGCAGGGATCGGAATGGGTAGAAAATGGGGCACAAGAAGCCAAAAATGGGATGCGGAGACCGAAAATGGGGTGCGTGGAGGCGGCAATAGCCAACGGCAATCCCTGCAGCCTGAAACAGCTGATGGTCGGGAGGCTGATCCAACCAACAATCAGCTGTTTGTCCTTGTGCTAATCAGGCTGGGCTGAAGCTGAAATAGGCTGTTGACTTTTTGCTGCAAGGAGGCAAATTGCTGGGAGGCAGAGGCCAAAGAGTGGGGGCTGGCGGGTGGGCGGGACGACATTCAGTGTATAAGACGCATCTAAATTTTGACCCTCTTTTTTTGGGGGGGTGCGTCTTATACTCCGAAAAATACAGTGGTTGTCAGGGAGAACCTTGAAGGGAGCATTCATGTTTTGGACAAAGCCATTTACATTTTCCCCTTTTCTTTTCTTTTTCCTGATTCATCTCAGGGATCAAATGGAAGAGGACCCTGGAAAGACATCATCAGATGCGCTTAGCAAGTAAGGAGCAGCCATAATGTTCAGCCTTCTCCTGCCTCAAGCCACTAGCTGAATTCAGGCAGAGAAAGGATTTTTTTAGAGAGGTTCCGTTGGCAGTCAGGCATTGAGATGATTGGCTTGTGTCTCCTGCAGCATCTTTGAAATCCTTTGCTTCGCTCTTCTTTCAGAAGTACCCAAGAGGAATTTGAGGAATGGGTCCCCAAATCTTTTCTCTTCCCCAAGCAACCTCCAATTTTTAGAATATCCCGTACAAACAACCAGCAATTTATCTACCTAATTATCCTTCTTTCTGCTTGCTTGCTTTTTGAAAAGCTTTTTCAAAAATGATGCGTTAAAAAAGTATTTACAATATTTTTACAGATATTTATAATATTCATGATTACCAAACTTTCAAAAAGTTTACTAGTGGTCTGGGACAGCAGGCCCCAAAGAGCTGAGGAATTTATATCCTTCCGGGTGTAACTGGACTACAACTCCCAGAATTCACTGTTGGCCATGCTGACTATGGCTTCTGGGAGTCATAGTCCAGCAATATCTGGAAGCTACAGCTTTCCATCCCTGCTCCAGTCTATAGACTTGCTAACCCTGCTAAGAACCAACTTCCTAGAAAAGCAATTTTCTTTCTGGTGGGGCTGTTGCCTGCTAGGTATTTCCTAACCTCTCTTGCTTTGCGGTTGCAGGGACCCTTCTCCTATTGCTACAGGAAAGAGGTATGGTTCTTAGCCCTGTCCTTCTTGCCTACTGATGACCACAGAGTGGGAGAATAGAAAGTTTTCTTACTGAGTTCAACTGAAGATCTAAAGGAAAACAAAAACAAAAAAATCACACCCCGTGGGGCACAGAATTCTGCAGCCTGGTTCACACGCCATTGTGTCAAATGCCATCAGGGTCCGGTTCTCAACGTTGTTTCCAATGCTGGGTGTGAACTTGGCCTGCGGGTTTTGTTTTGGGATTGCTCCCTGGCAGGGTCTCGCAGCCAGAGAGACAAGCAAAGGGGTGACTTGCTTGTTCAGTTGTGGGAATGAGGGCAGCCAATGCATCCTTCTTTGCAACAGAATTGTGGATGTAGTGCTTTCTTGAGAACGGCCTTCTCAAAAGCAACACCCCATCTTTTCTCAATTTCAAGGCATCTCCCGTTGCAACTGTGACCGGAGACACTACCACCCCCCCCAAAAAAAAGTTTTATTGTTTCGTACTATCCGTTTCCTGGATTTTCAGTTTTGCTCTTTGCAGCCCGGAATAGTTTGGAATGGCCGTGGCCTAGAAATACTGTTAATTCCTATGCAAACCAGGCCAATGACTTGTCGTTCTTGCTGCGGCTGGGTTTTGAAAAGCTGATCGCAAAATCGACAGGAAGGAGAGCAATTTGGATGGTCAATGATCCATTTCCCCGTGGCCCCTTGGGTTGATTGTGTTATTTATTCAAAATGTAGATGTTTTATACCAGGGGTCTCCAATCTTGGCAACTTGAGGACTTGTGGACTTCATCTCCCAGAATCCCTCAGCCAGAGGAACTCTGGGAGTTGAAGTCCACAAGTCTTAAAGTTGCCAAGGTTGGAGACCCCTGTTTTATACTCTACTAGCCGGTAACCCAGCGTTGCCTGGATATTTATTTATAGGGGGAAAATGTCCGGACCAAATGTAATTTCTAATGTTGGATTTTCCACCTTACCAGAGGGAGACCCCTTGTAGAGTACTGTGAAGCCATTACCATGGCAACTCCACCCCACGCTGTACAGTAGAAGCCATTTTATGGCAGTACAGCAGAAGCCATTTTAAGGTACAACAGGCTGTATCTTAACAAAACACACCCCGAGAGGTGTTAGGGGTGCCTTACCCCATTAGTATTTGTCTCAAGAGAGTAAGTCATCTGTGTACCAAGTTTGGTTGAAATCGCTCAAGGCATTCCAGAGTTATGCTGAAACATACATAAACACACATCCACTTTAATATAGAGAGATGAAGTAATAAATAGGCTGGAGCAAAATAGGCCCAAGGCCTATTGTATAATTGCCCTTGCACGATTAAGGCATAATAGTAGGTGGACATCAAGCCAGCCCAGAATGATGGCAGGACAGAAACTAGCTTTAAACTTTTGCCCCTGCTACAGGGATGGGTTCCTGCCTGTTCTAACCTCTTCTATAGAAGAGGTTCCACAAATCTACAGTGCCGTTTAGAACCGGTTCCAGCTCCCTCCCCCCGCCTGTCTGCACATCATCAAGATGAAGAGCGAGAGGAGGAATTCTGGGAGTTGAAGTCCACAAGTCTTAAAGCTATCAAGTTTGAACATCCCTGGGGGGGGGGTTTCTAAAGGGTTAGGGATGCAAGGGTCTTGTAACTTGACAGCTTTAAGACTTGCGTGCTTCAAATGCCAGAGTTTCTGAGCCAACATTTTGGTTGCTAGGCAAGAGCGTTGTTAAGTGAATTAAGTTTTCCACGCCCACCCAGTCACATGGCCGACAAGCCACTCCCACCTGGTCACATGGCCAGCAAGCCACTCCCATAAAGCAGGCCACACCTATAGAAGAGGTTCTAAAAAAATTTGAAACCCACCACTGCTCTGCTATGATCTGAGCTAGATCTGCACTTCCCATCAATTACCCTAGTATGTTTGCTATTCCCATTGGAGTGCAAATTCCACCACCTGTCTAAAACAGGTGTGTCCAACCCGTAGCGCACAGCCCACATGCAGCCCTGGGCAGCTAGTAACGTGGCCCCACAAAATTGTAAATTTTTAATATAATATGTGTTGATATACATTAACTAAAATATTTAGTTTATATAAGACCGAGGTAAGCCAAAAGGTTGGACATGGCTGGTGTAAAGAAAACCATTTTTTCTTCAGAGCCAAGCTGAAGAGAACAGCAAGCAAAAAAAAATTAAGAAGTTTCAGATTTGTACACTATGTGGATACACTATGACTTGGTTTCCAATCATCGTATATGACTGCTTGTTGTTTCCAATCATCATATATGATAGCCACGGAGGTGCAGTGCTTAGAATTTAGTACTGCAAGCTACTTCTGCCGGCTGCCTGCAATTTGGCAGTTCGATTCTAGACAGGCTCAAGGTTGACTCACCTTCCATCCTTCCGAGGTGGGTAAAATGAGGACCCAGATTATTGGGAGCAAGAGGCTGACTCTGTAAATCTCTTAGAGAGGGTTATAAAGCACTGTGAAGCAGTATACAAATCTAAGTGCTACTGCTATTTCTAACTCTGCCCACTGCCAGGAGTTTGATCCTAACCAGCTCAAGGTTGACTCAGCCTTCCATCCTTCCGAGGTGGGTAAAATGAGGACCCAGATTGTTGGGGGCAATAGGCTGACCCTGTAAACCGCTTAGAGAGGGTTGTAAAACACTGTGAAGCAGTATACAAATCTAAGTGCTACTGCTATTTCTAACTCTGCCCACTGCCAGGAGTTTGATCCTAACCAGCTCAAGGTTGACTCAGCCTTCCATCCTTCCGAGGTGGGTAAAATGAGGACCCAGATTGTTGGGGGAAACATACTGATTCTGTAAACCGCTTAGGAGGGCTGTAAAGCACCATGAAGTGGTATATAAGTCTAAGTGCTACTGCTATTGCTAACTCTGCCCACTGCCAGGAGTTTGATCCTGACCAGCTCAAGGTTGACTCAGCCTTCCATCCTTCCGAGGTGGGTAAAATGAGGACCCAGATTGTTGGGGGA